ATGTTGTTAGAACCATCCGCGAAATGATTCGCGATGAGGCTCGCGAAAGTATATGTTTTTTCCGCGAAAGACTTATCACGGGGTTTTCCACCAACTCCCATCAATTTCAACCGATGCCCCAACCGTTCCCAGCTCTCCATTCAGATGGATTCGAGCCGGAGCCCAGATCGCTCCAGGTCGCACCTCCCATCGCCGCAGGCCAAAACCAAATCGCCGTTGGGTGCCATGGCCATCTGGCTCCTAGGTTTCGACTTCAAAACCTTTCAAGTGCAGCCAATGGCCATATATCTGAAAACTTTCACTTGGGCTGCCAAAATACCTTCACGTTCAAAACAGCGGACACTTTCATGTATAGAGGAACGGCCGCAAGACAATTGGAAGCCAAGCAGCTTGAACACAATATTTTTAGACTTTAGATGCAGGTTCGTTACATACACAGGTCATCTCTGCTGGACAATCTATTTGGACATGAGTAGTTTTGAAACTATGTGCTGAGAAATCAGTCCACGAACTGGAAGTGGTTCCACCACGTATGTACATATATGTATATATTTACTAAATAATATTAAATAAATATATACAAATATATTATGTTCAATCGGCCTGCGCCACCCTGACTAAGGGAACCACATCTGACAATTCTGTGTCCATCAAGGCCAAGACTTGGAACGTCTTCTGGCTGCAGCCCAATTGCGGGTTACTCACTTCCCTTGGGAGGAGTGCCTTCCGCACATTTTCGAGCTCCTGGTTTAGCCTTGGCAGTGGCGGCAGTCACATTTGTAACACCCAATAAATGCTTGTTGGTAGTGTGGTGCTCCTGAGTTGCTGCTATCACCAAATACCTCTTGCAACTCAAATCCACTGAACATTTCTGCTCTTTGGTGGATGCCTTCGCCTGGTATGGGGAGACAGACGTGTGAGGTTTCGAGCGATATGACACCATTTCTTGACACCAACGTCATATTACGCGTGTTGGTTTCGGCTGGTGGTCTCAGCCAAAACAAAGTGATGACCTTCTTTCCGTGGTTCTGGGTTTTTGAAGGAATCGAATCTTCCTCACGGACGCCCATGACTTAGGGATTGTTTGTGGCAGTTCCATGACCTAACTTCAGGATTTTTCTCGCCCGGTAAACACAGTTGCCACAAGGCTTCACCACTCATCACACTCATTGCTTACATCAGGGGAGGCTTTGCTACATTCTATCAGAAAAAGTCCTTGGCGAGTGAAAGACCCACAATCCTGGCAAAATATTCAACAAAAAACGAAACAGTTTTACACGGTTGAATAATGAGCGAACTTCCGCACCATAGAATACTCTAGAGCACACACATAAAACACATGTGAGAGCGCACGGAGAGAGCACACATGGGAGAACACTCGTATAAGAGCGCACATTTGAGAGCGCACGCATGAGAGAGCACACATAATGCACACATGCGATTGCGCAGGTGAGATACACAAATTAGAGCACACAACTGCGCCTGTCACACGAATCTAGATTTCATGATTCACATCACGCAGCACTGCCAGTGAGTTTCACAACAGAATACAACAGAAGCACTTCCAAAGACACGTTCGAGATGCCAAAGCGAACCTTGAAAGCGCGCCACATGTCCAAAGTTCACGAGTCGCTGCACCTGCCACGAAGTCAGAGCACACCAAAGATCACCACCATATCCAAAGTGCTGCGCCTGCAACGAAATCTACACATCGAAGTTGGTTCCTATATCTCCGGCACCTGCCACGAAAAGTCGACTTGAAACAACGAAAACACGAGGATTCTCTTGCGCCTGCCACGAAAAGTGGCCACCAAATCGGAAAAATGTGCACGGCACCACAATGAGAACACAGTCGAGAAGAGCACCTGCCATACGGTTTGCGCGAGCCTGCGCAGTCAAGAAGCACTTTGAAGAGCTGCACACAGCAGCGAATTTGCTGGACACGCCAGTGACCACATGTGAGTGCCCTCGATCAAAACCAACGTTAATAACCTCTATGGTGTCCACATTGTTTGCAAACAAAAAAGAACACATTCAAGCACAGCCTCAAAAAATCCATGCAGACAAAACACACCAGTACTTCCCCCTGGAAGTGACATACGTAGAAGAGGCCTCAGGCTCCAACCTTCCTCTTCGAGGCCAAGAACATATAAACTTTATTGAGTCATCTTGAGTATAATAGGCCTATCCTATAAGCCTATAACTTGATTGTGAGTCAAACTTGGAATCTCCGATGACTCCGATGTCTTGTGATCTGCTCATGAAATGTCTCATCTTTTCGGCCAAGTGCATGTCAAATTTGAGCAGTGCGCAACATCCTGTTCTTGGGTTCCAATGTCAGAATTTGTGGACTTAACCGCGTACCAGCCTAGCTGTTTCTAACTCCATCAATGTGGCGGAGAAGGTCTCACAACAACCTGCACAAAATCCCTATGCCGTCAAAATCCTCGGGAAAAAACAGAAGAACATAGAAGAACACATTCAGCAACGACCATTTTTCTGCGAAGTTCGCCAAGAGTCCGTCTTCAGTGGTGAGAACTCCTTGCGGCCACTTCTCTGACTTGACGAGGTGGTCTAACTTGGCAATGCGGCCTTGGTGATCCGTCGCCCGTTTACAAGGGTCGCATGTGATTCGGTGCCCTCGAAAAGTTGACTTGACCTTCCAAGAAGGATCAATCTCGACTGCAAACCTGCCAAGACATGATTGTGAATATAGGAGTGTACAGACCGAACAGCTGACTGCCCCAGCTGCCGTTCTGGATTATCTTCCTTTCTACCAGGGGTACCTGGTCACTCTGTCATTTTGAGACAAATCCAATTTTGTGAGCGCAGCCTGCGGAATCCTCTTTTTCCGCCTCGGTCCATGCGAACAAAGTAGAGATCAATCTCACCTCGGCTAAGATGCCGTTGGTCAAGAACAGAACCCCCTGACAAAGCTACAAAAAACACATCCTGAAATGTATATAAGTATATAATCATGGAAGGGAATAACCCCCTGTAAAAAGATGTAAAGAGATGTAAAGAAGACGATGGCCATCCAAGGAGGCCATTTTCCACTTCCATGATTATTTCAGGGAGTGTAAAACAGCAACATGGTGTGAATCATTTACTTTGCTTCAACATTGCCACTACGGATTGGACAAATTTCCCCGTACAAGACCAGCTTCCAAAGTCTGTGAAAGTGAGAGGGAGGATAGCTACTAATTACTTCATTGAGAGTACCTTCGTGTTACTAGGTGCCTTGCTACTAGTAGCTACTAGTAGCGATTGCACCTTGCTACTAGTAGCTTCTTCTGTCAATACACAATTAGAGAACATCCAAGCAACCCTTGCATGTCTTGCAAATCGAAGCTCCTGGCCGACCACAACTCAGCGGCCTCTCTTCCTCTAGCCATCGGCATGAATATCCAGCTCTGTGCATGAACATCAATATCCTCCAAGGGATGTGTGCGTGAAACAACAGCTCCAGGACCTCTTTTTGAAACGCGAGGAGTCCTCTGGCTTGGAGGACTTGGTCTAACAAGTGGTTTGGGATTCCCTGCACCCACTTGGCTGCCTTTCAATTTCTGAATATGGGCAGCCCCAGTCTATCCAAACCACCAGCTAAGACTAGGTGGATTTGGTCATGATGCCACGACCTGGCCTGGAACAGTTGGGAGCGCCCACATACGCAGCTGGACTATGATCACACAAGGCTTCCAGCTGCACCTGAGGTGATGGGCTCCGGTGAAGCCTCTTTGGTGGTTGACGCCACATGTTCCACTGTTTCTCAGTCTTTTTGGCCACATGATCGTGATTTTTAATAGTCCAGGAGGTTGCTGCATAGATTTAGAGAGATTTATTAGGGCGATGGCCTCCAACCTACCTCCCGTAGGTTGGGGGAACGGCCGCGTTTTGGAACGCGCAAGTGGTTTCAATTTGCAACGCGGGCGATTGGTCTCAATTTGGAACGCGGTTCTTTTCTTCTGGAGTTTTTTTTGTTTGCGTTTTTTTCCTCTGGTGTTTTTTGTTAGTTGTTTTTTCTTCAGGTGTGTTTTCTTCTTGGTTGGGAGAAGGCTCATTTTGGAACACATGATTCGGCCCTGTGGAATAGATTCCGGCGTTCGATAGAACTCTGTAACGTGCACGCAAGGGTCGATTTTAGAGGAGGAAGGTGCCATTCCAAGGTAGTATGCCTTCCTGGGTTGCTTTGTTGTTGGGATCTCGTTGAAAAAAAGCGGGAGGGGGCGTTGGGGAGGGCGCAGCGCCTCCCCCGCAATGTAATCCAAGTCTAGTGGCTTCGTTGGTGGGGCTCGTTGGTTGCTAGAGTTCGTTGGTCGCTGCGTCGGTTGGCGTAACCCCGCGTGGCTCACAAACGGCATGCTCTGGAACTGCACCTTGCTGCTCAAAATTTTACCCCCACGTGGCTCACAAAAGGTATGCTACCTTGGAATGGCACCTTCCTGCTCTAAATTTAAGCCGCGCGTGGCTTGCAAAAGGTATGCTACCTTGGCATGGGAGCTTCCTGCTCTAAATGTTATCCTCGCCTGGCCCACAGAAGGTGTGCTTTGGTATAGCACGTTCCTCCTCTAGATTTCACCCCCGCGTGGCTTACAAAAGGTACGCTACCTTGGAGTGGCACCTTCTTGCTCTAAACTTAACCCCTGCATGGCTGACAAAAGGTATGCTTTGGAATTAGGCCTTCCTCCTCTAAATTGTACCCCCCCGTGGTTCACAAAAGCTATGCTACCTTGGAATGGCACCTTCTTCCTCCAAATCTAACCCCCGCGTGGCTCAGAAAAGGTATGCTACACCTTGGAATATAATCTTTTCGCACAGTGGAATAGATTCGGGCGTTCGATAGAAGTCTGTTTATATGTAACGTGCATGCGACATCATATTAGTTTGTGGGTCAAATTTAGAGGGGGAAGGTGCAATTCCAAGGTAGTATACCTTCCTGGGTTGCTTTGTTGTTTTGATCTCCTTGAAAATAAGCGGGAGGGGGTGCGGGGGAGGGCGCTGCGCCCTCCCCCGCAATGTAAGCCAAGTCTAGTGGCTTCGTTGGTTCCTGGAAAGCCTATGGCATATGGCGGGTTCGTTGCTTGCTTCGTTGCTGGGCTTAACCTTAACCCCTGCGTGGTGCACAAACGGAATGCTTTGGAATGGCACCTTCCTGCTCTAATTTTTACACCCGCGTGGCTTACAACAGGTATGCTTTGGAATGTGCGAGTGGATCTTAATCAGCGAAGTTTGAAGCTATCACTGACGGTCCATAAGCGGCGTAGCGTCGGAACGGAAACCGCACCTTTTCTAGTCGCTTGATCCTTGAGCCAAAGTACATATGGTACATATATATGTACAAGTTGCACTGTACATGTCGCTGCACTTCCATTCGCACCCCCCATGTGAACGGCAACAATATGTTCCGATCACACACGAAAATTTAGGGATGTAAGTGCTACAAAAGAAATTGTATGATTTGCCGCGAGACTCATATGAGGCTCATACTACGAAACATGCTGGACTAAAGCGGACTTTTACATATAAAGTGTGCAACTATGGCTCAGAACCTATGAAAATCGAATTGAACAAGTGAGACAGTCACGAGGCCTCGCTCAGTATCCACTCAAAAGAGCATCGCTTTGATGTAGATCCGAACTGGTGACTTCCACGTAGATGTCACATCGGCAACTGACTTCACACTTCTCAAAAGATGTAGGTTTTGGTTTGGATACACTTACAGAACGGCAAGTCGGAGAGACAGTCGGTGATTGTCTTCCTTCCATTATGCTCATGGTATCAAATCGTCAATCCGAATTTGCAACGATACACTTACAGCGTTTCAGGTCGGATAAACATCCGGTGAATGATTTCCTCCCTGGTTTGCATGGTATCCTCATAGTCGTTCAAAGAAATCACCACTGGCGATAACCTCTCCATCCACGATGATCCCAGCTGCCCTGAGCATCCCGCCGATCATCTTCTCCCTTCTTGGACTTTCCCTTGGACTTGCTCTTTCCCTTCCCCTTTTCAGAAGGTTGAGGTACTTCGCGACGTTCTTGCGTTAGCGCCGGCCTCCAAGATGTTCCAGATTGGCCTCCTCCTTTGGAATGTCCTCGGGATGATGAGGAAGTTGTACCTTCTGCTGCATGTGCGTTGGCGGCAAGATCTTCCTGCAAAGCTTGCTCAAACACATCGGTAGCACTGGATGGTGATTTATCATGTGGTCTGGCTTTTGGAGCAGCCTTCGCCTTGCTCTCTTCTGCTGATGAGGGCCCGAAACTCTTAGGTGCTGTTGAAGGTTTTGGCTCCTCACTTGGTGCTGACGACGGCTTGGCCTCGGTTCTGGGTGTAGATGCTGGCTTTGCCTCAGCTCTTGACGAAGATGCTGCTTTCGCTTCAGACTTAGTCGTTGATGTTGACTTAGCTGTTGCCTTGGCTGCCTGCTTCTTCTTGCCCTGAATCTCCTTGGCCCTATCTCCAAAGCCTAGACGATCGGTAAGAGCTTGAACATGCTTCTGTTCTACCACGCTCATCCATCTCTCTGTATGTCCAATGTTGGGATTTCTGGCCATTGACTCTACGACATTCTGAGCGTGTGGGGGCAACCTGATCTCATGTTGATTAATGATCAGCAGAATAGACTTCTCCCATTTGCTCTTCATTCTCGAGTACATGATGTCCAGAGGATCGATCACCTTGTGGTTGGGTGATGTAACGTCGGTTCTAAAGTAAGAATATGTCCGACAACCATAAATCGCATGGATGCACTTCTGTACCAATTCAGTCATTGCGCTGGCTTTCTTCGCTTTCAACTCCTCAAGCTGGACGTCAGTCAAGTTGGTGGAGTATTCGAAGTTGCCATATTCCTTCTTGAAGGAGTACGGAGTATGACCAAATGATAGGATCACGAGTGCCACCTTGCAAATGAATTGCTCTCCTCTGAATCGGTGCCAGGCCTCCTCAGTTGTAATATTGTTGTCGTTGGCAAAGATTAACATCATATCATCTGTTGGATCCAATGGTCTCCCATCGTCATCGATTTCAGTGGAATCTCCTGTACCGAACTTGCTTATCACATCCAGACGCTTCCTTTTCCAATTTGCTTTGAAATCGGTAAGGCTGGTGCAATAGTAGCTCTTGTACATCAGGGAGATCATGTTCAGCACACATTTGACCACATACCTATCCATCAAACCCGATGCATTCACGGAGACGTCCTGACAGTAGGCTCTCTCTTGATGCGCATAGATTCGAGGTTCCGGTACTCGACAATAGATGGGGAGATCTTCGTTGTCTCTTCCTTCTTCGGGATTGAACTCGGTCGCTCCATGCTGTGCATAGTATCCCGGTTCATCACGATCTGTCGGTCGATTCGCCTCCGGATGTAAGTCGTCGGTGACGTCTTCATCCTCGGGCTCACCATCTTGACGTTTCTTCCCCTCATATTGTTGTGTGCTCCTCTGGATCTCGATGATCACGTTTCGTTCGTCTTCATCTTCTAGATCAGAATCACGACCGTAGTCGATCTCGTCCTCATTGAAAGATGGGGTCTCGACATTGTCACTCTTGAAGTTTTCTGCACCATCAGACGGTTTGGAAGGATCTAGATTGTCCATGTCCTCGTCGTCGTCAGCTGCTTCAGTTTGAGCGATGTCTTCTTCCCAAGCCTTTCTGATCTCGTCCATAGTGGCCTGGTCCAAGATATCTTGATCATCATCTTCAGGCTCCTTCTCTTCCTTCTTTTCCTCTTCATCGTCGCTCACAAGATCAACGGGTGAATCGGAAATGACAGTGTTGCGAATACCACACGAGAGTAGCCTGCCTTGACAAGATAGACACACGGACAAAGATGAAGAAGTCAAATGCATACATGATGGACACAAAATATTGCCATCCACGTTGCGATACCCTTCACATGTTCTGGAGATGATTTCGTCCCAAGTTTCCTCACTGATGGAATCCTCGATCAGCCCTCCATTGTCATCGAATTGTACTTCATCGATAAGGGACACGAGCTTTTGGACGTTGTCATCTGTCGCCGAGGCTGACTTCGTGACTTCGTCGGCTCTCTCGAGGATGGTATGCTTCTGAGCAACCCAAAGTCCATGACGTGCCGCTAGAACAACTTGCTCTCCAGTGCTTCCCAGCAGGAGTCTCCTCCATGCCTGAACGTAGTCGTCCCAATACCAAGCACCTCGTACACATCTCCATGGAACTTCTCTAAAAACAACAGTGTAGGAATTCTCCGAAATTCTCCCCCCAAGCTTCCTCAAAGTCATGATTGGAACATAAAGGCAAACGGGCATTCCCACTCTTGGCCATCTTGATCTCAGAATCTTTGATGATCGATCATCCCACGGCGCAAAGTGGTTGAAGAAAACACTACCTCTATATCCCTCCGTTCCACCAGGGACAATTCCTAGTTTCATGATTGACTCAATATTGGAAAGCGATGTCATGTGAAAGCTTCCTCCAAGCTGCATTGCCACATTCTCTGGAATGAGATGTGAAGTCCACACAGGATATATTGACACATCCTCTTCAAGAACAGTCTCTCTTCCAGAATTGTGAGAGGCAACAGCTCGAATTGCACAAGGAACGATCCAACGTTCATGCTTCAGAAATGACGGTGCATCTGTGCTGTAATACATGAGGTTTGCCCAGTATTGCCTTTCCTCTTCGAGTGAGACATCCTCCCTTGAGATACGAATGGCGGCAATCTGATA